GGAGTGTGCTGGATGTGTCTACAATTTTGTTCAAAGGACTACAGAACCTGGAAAAGCTGTTGCTGCTATTGATGCATAACATATTGCCATTATTGCTCTTTTTATATAAACATAAATTATACATACACATATATATATATATGCAAAAAATAAAAAAGAAAGAAATTAATGAAGATACCAGAAAATGGAAAGATCTCCCATGCTCTTGGATAGGTAGAATTAAAAAAACAAAAACAAAAACAAAAAAAACAGGTATGCAGAAACCACTCAAGTTTAAATTAACAAGTTAACATCTGTCTAAAATGGTACCAAGATATGAGGAATCTGAAATAATTTCTGATGAATAGTCAACAGAACTGAAAAGGTTTAGTCTACACAAAACTGTCTTCAAATACCTGCAGCAATGTTGTTACCAGAGGTTGGAAGTCTGGCCCAGGTGATTCCAGATTTTTGGGCTCTAATTCAAAGACTTGAAATAACAGATTTCAAAGGTAGCAAGGAAACTGTACTCAAAGCCTAGCTACAGAACAGGTCAGAACACACTGCAGGGGAGCAACAGGCTGCAAGAGTGAAGATAGGCAAGGGCCTTGATTACTGTCTGGGGATTCCTTTGATAGTGTTCAAGAGAAGTATGGCTACTGAGGGGCATAGTGCCATTAATTATCTGCTTTGGTTGACAGAGTAGATTATATAAATAATTCTATTTTCCTATTAAGTTTTAATCACATGCATAATCAATTATGTAGGCATAAAATAGTAAATAGGGGATGCTCCCTAAAAGTTCACCTGAGGACACAGTTTTGCTTTATTGGGCATTTACCCAAACTAGCTGAGGCTGGATTGATCCTTGTATCCACTGGGAATACACCTGAAGAGAATTGGTCTGAGTTTTAACAGTCAAGTGGGGGAGAAACTTACTCAATTGTTCAGAGAGGACTATGTATCTCAGTACAGGTAAGGGTCTCAGGCTGTCAAGTGCATTACTAGAAGAGGGTGTGCGCATAGCCTAAACCAAGGAAAGTCCCAGCTTTCTAAACTATTCCCTATGCTTGTCTGTTTCAATGTTTAAAAAGAATCAGCAGAATTACTCTATATTCTTGAGACCATTGGGCCAGGATTAACAAGAAAGATAATTCTGGTGTGTTTTAAGGGGGAAAACAGATATAATTAAACCAGCTCAATATGGGATACAGCATCCATGCAAATGTCTACCTAACAGTCCTTTCAATGACAGCTTCTGACAAGTGAGGGATTTCATCCACATCCAAGAAGAGAGTCCAACTTCAGGAGGAAGGTTGGATTCTTAGGTTTTCTTCTCACTCGAAGCTTGTACTATGAAATTTGATATATTAACCAAATGTTTTTATTTAATCTTAGATATATGTAGACAGTAATAACAAGCAAATGACAAAAGTACAGGTACTAGGCCAAGTTCTTGAAGATCACAGAGGCAGGGCTTGGTGGCCTACACCTTTAATCCCAGCACACAATGAGCAGAGGCAGGTGGATCTCTATGAGTTGGGAGACCAGCACAGCATGGTCTACTTAGTAAATTCCAGGCTAGCCAAGGTTACACAGTGAGACCCTGTCTCAAAACAAAATTCTTACATTTGTAAGAATTCCATGAAAAAAGGCCTTCGCCAATTAAAACATACAGAGACAAGATAACGAATGACACTTATCTCAATGATACATTTAAAAGAACAAACTACGAGATTTATATCAGTAAAGATAATCAGAATGATTATCCTAAAAGGAATAACTGGAGTACCACAATTCAGTCATCAGAAGCCACCAAATGATCATGTTAACACCAAGTTTTAAACAAAATGAATTAACATGACAAAGTGATAACTGATAAAGGGAAGAAATTCTATTTTAATTATTGAACATCCATTTGTTCTAGTTTAAAGATTTCCAATAGATTTTGATTCATGTTCTTTCACTTGCTAAAACCAGTTTGCCAAATGGTTGAAGGGAAGGAAACAAAGTCAATTTAAATGTGAATGCCACTTGAAATTTTTCTGTTATCATGAGCAATAAACTTTTCTCTCTACAGGCAGACAGAACTGGAGTCGGAAGGAAACCATGACCCAAATTCTTATAATGATGGCCAAGATTTCCAATAATTTCCAATAATTTGAGGCATTTTTTCCAAAATTTAATTTTTCCAAAAATTAATCTTTATTAAATTAACCTTTATCTTTTAGATGGGGTATCACAATTTTGCCTAGGCTGGCTTCAAATCTGTAACTCTTTTTGACTCCATGATCAGCTTGATTATGGAAATGAATCACCACACCCCACCTGAGGCATTTCCAAACTGTCAAAAATCCACTTAGAATTAAAATTTAAAAACAGTATTTAGAATTTTTGTAACAGGTGTAATTTTAGCTGATTTAAAAAAAAAAACTCCTTGTATAACTTAGGTAATAAGTCAGCTGAAATATTGAAGTTATTTACTTCTGAGTCTGTCCTGCAAATGGTACATCTTACTATTTTACTTAATTGATGTACAATGGATGCACAATAAACTCATACAAAGGTAGCTGGATGAACCCTGCCTTGTGCATGTAACTGTGAAACTGGCACCACACTCAGGATAATGAAGAAGCCCACACCCTTCCAAATTTCCCATGTTCCTTTGTAAATCCTTTCTTCTCTTCTCCCTTGCCAGTCCCACACTACCCAACCTTCTGCTTGTTAACTAGATGAGTTCTCATTTTCCAGGAGTGGAATCACACTAAACATTCTATATTGCCTGGCTTCTTTCACTCAGTACAATTATTTTTAGATTTATCCAACTTCTTGTTTGTATTCATACAGTGTACACTTTTACTGCTAAGTAGTTCTTTATTTGAGTGGATACACCATAATTTGTTCAACTGCTTGTTGACAGATACTTGGGTTACTTCCAGTTTGGGATCACTTGCTGTACAAGTTTTTGTAAGGACATGTTTTGTTTTCCCTTGTAAACATCTAGGGCTAGAATGGATGGCTCATGTAGTAGATAATGTTTTACTTTTTAAAGAAACTGCCTATTTTCTAAGCTTGTACTATTGATACTATACTATTATGTCTCCCCCTGCTCACACCCCTTGCATTTCTTCCATCTTCTTACCAGTATCTGGAATGACCCCTGTCTTTATTCATAAGTAGCTGAGGGAATATGGGAGCATTATGCTGTGGTTTGAGTCTGTATTTCCCTAAAGACCAATGACACTGCTCAATTTTTAACTTTTATTTGCCATTCGCTGATCATCTTCACTGCAATGTCTTTTCAATATTTTTGCCTGTTTTATAATGAGGTTGCTTGTTTCTTAAGTTTTTAGAGTTCTTTATATATTTTCTATACCAGATCTTTATCATACATATATGATTTTAAATTTTTATCTCAGTGACTTATTGTTTTCATTTTCTTAATGCTTTGAAGAATAAAAGTATTCAAC